CACTCACACACTCACACACTCACTCACTCACACACTCACTCACACGCACGCACACACGCACGCACACACACACGCGCACACATGCACACAGCAGGATCTCATTTCTCAGGCAGGAGGTAAGTGAAACATTTATTTTCAACTGAAATCCATATGCATCTGATGAATTATGAATAGCAATAATCTGAATCGTTGGACAGAGAGAGACCGACAGTCTGATCTAAACTGGTTTAGCTAGTTTTATATCAGAGATGCACCTGATTAACAAACCTTGAGTGAGAGACACTGACTCGTTACAGCATTTCAGGTTCACAACCATTTTGATTTCTTCTTATATTATTTTTGACTGTTTGTTATTTTAGAGTTTCTTTCGATGTTAATAAAGTTGTTTCCTTATAAGTTTCAGATCAGTGTTTTGGTTTCTGTGTAGAAATGTATGAACAGAACTAGAGAATCAAAAGTTGTAAATGTTCTTTTATATTTCAAACTGTAAAAAGCAACAGGGACTTTTGTTTTGTCAGTTTCTCTGAAAGTCTAAATAAATTTTAACACGAGCGATGGCGCTACAAGTCCAAATGATATATCGATTTCTTCTTTCTCTGTTTTGAAATAGCTTTTCAACCTTTTTTCTGGAGTTATTGATTGGTAAATCAGCGCTTATGTGAGTGTCAAACCTCTTGAAATCTTGTCATCGTTAAAATGGTGAAAACGAACTACCTTAACTAGTGATCACAGAAGTTTCACCACCTGCTGTGAATCAAAGTTCAGGTTTGTGTGAGGGTTAGGAGATAGAAAACATCATTAGCTCAGTAGAAAAACAAAGGAAAGACCCCATAGAGAGACAAAAACAAACGTGTGTGTGTGTGTGTGTGTGTGTGTCTGTGTGTGTGCGTGTGTGTGTGTTCTTTCTCCAGCATTCCTCTGCTCATTGACTGACTGTAGTTTATTCAGCTGCTCTTCCTCCTCTGACCTTTAACCTCAGCGTTTGAGATGCACACAGTTCTTCTCTCCCTCTGTTATCCCCCTAGCAACACCCTAGCAACCACTCAGCTCCACCTAGCAACAAGTAAAAAAAAAAAAAAATGCACTCGCAACATGGCACCAAGAAAGTTTTGCACAGACAAACATCACATTTCCTTTATAAAAAAAATCATATTGCGGTTTTAGAATATTATTAAATAATAAAAAAAAAATGTAAACAAATATTATAAAATGTAGGTTATTAATATAGAACAAAAAAATGGTGTGGAAACATTTTTCACTCAGAAACTGCCAGTAAGTTTCACAAATAATTACAAAGAAGCAGCAAGTGACATTGAATTAAATGTGAAACTTTGGAGTTGAAAGACTGAAAAGTATTTTCTTGTAAAACATCCTCCAATAATCTTTTTCGTAACGGCTCACGGTTTGGGATGCTCACTTTCACTACGACGGACGCTATAACGACGACCACTGCTCTCGCCGCAACCACTACATCTGCAAAGCTCACGCGTCCTCCATCTGAGACACGAACGTCCTTCACTTCACAACAAAACTACTGTACCCCAAACCAACAAACAACATCAGTGTGAATATAAACACTAATAATGTTTAATATTTCACGAAATAAAAGCTTTCCGATTCTTATATTTACTGTATATAAACAACAAAAAAAGCAACAAAATTTTATATTGTATTTGGAGACATGACAATGTATTTTAGTTTAGTTTCTCACATTACTGTGCTACAAAAAAAAATGTTGCTCTGGATAAAAGCACTTGCTAAACTTATAAATGTAACATTGTACTTTTGATGCTATATACTGCCACGCTTAAAGGAATAGTTCACCTAAAAATGAACATGAGCTGTAAATGTGCTCATCCTCAGATCATCCCAGATTAGGATGAGTTTGTTTCTTCATCAGGTTTGTAGAAATGCAGCATTGCATCAGTGTCTCAGCAATGGATGCTCTGCAGTGAATGGGTGCCGTCAGAAGCTGATAAAAACATCACTTTACGTTTTCATCACAATAGTATAAGACTATCACAGCATTCTTAGAAAGTATCTAAACATAATACAAAATGATGGTAACACTTTAGTATAGGGAACACTTATTCACTATTAACTACGAATTTTCCCTCAAATTCCTAATTTGCTGCTTATTAAGTTAATTAGGTAGTTGTTAAATTTAGGTATTGGGTAGGATTAGGGATGTAGAATAAGGTCATGTAGAATAAGGCATTAATATGTGCTTAATTACTACTAATAAATGGCTAATATTCTAGTAATGTGCATGCTAATAAGCAACTAGTTAAGAGACCCTAAAATAAAGTGTTACCAAAATTACTAGTACATCGGTATACAGTAACATTATTACAACATTAATGAACATTAGCTGAAAAATGTGCTCACTCTCAGGCCATCGAAGATGTAGATGAGTTTGTTTCAACGTCCTACGTTGAACAGTTAGCGGAAGCTAGAGATTACAGTTTATAAAGTTTTAAATATAGATATTTTTCTTATACAAACGCATTGATTCGCTACAGGAGGTCTTTATTCACCTCCAGAGCCGTGTGAGACTTTTAATGACGGATGGATGCTCTTTATTGGACTTATTTTGGACTATTGCAAAATAACACCCATTCAGTGCCATTATAAAGCTTGGAAGAGCCGGGATATTTTTTTAATATAACTCCGATTGGATTCGTCTGAAAGAAGAAAGTCATACAAACCTAGGATGGCTTGAGGGTGAGTAAATCATGGGCTAATTTTGATTTTTGGGTGAACTATCCCTTTAAAGATTCGAGGAATAAAAAAGCAAAACGATTGTATAGAATTCCTGACTGATCTATTGTAAGATTAAGATATCACCCTATGTTTGTTCCTTTCTTTTTGGATGTTTGCAATACAATGCAATATATGTAGCCTATGTATGTACGTTTCTGTTAAGCAATAAAAAAAAATCGTAGTGTTTAATCATCTATTTCCATGTCATTGAAATATTACAGTGACATGTTTACATCATGTTAAATATCTACACACACACACACGCACGCTCACAATACTTTCTGTTGATTGTATTTTTTTCAGACCTCAAAAACTGCAAAGAAAACAAGTTCATATTCACTTTTAAGCAATACAACAGTAATATATTTAGGAAAGTAAAAAAAAAAAAAATGCAATAACCTCGATTTTTAATCACAGTTTTCATGTGTCTTATTATTACTATAATAAATTCAATTCAAATGGCATCTCATCCTTCAGTCTTTGAAACAAAACAAATTCGGCCCGTGTGTTCAAAAAACGTCCTTGGAGCAAAACCAAAATAATATAAATTATGTTAATAGAGCTATTGAACTAATTTCTCTTCGTGTTGCATTTGGTAGACGGTCCCTATCTTCGTGGTTCCGTTTCCGTGTCGAGGCTGGATGACTCAAATATCAAAAATCAAACTTTAAGCCAGCTTTATTGGGGGTTTACCTTTTTTACTTTAACATTGTACTGTCTGCAATTGCGCTGTTCACGTGCATCTCCTATTGATTTCTATGGGACGTCCAGTACAGAGGGAGGGGCATTAACCTAAGGGCGGCATAAATACCAGATCATACATATAAAACTCCCATTTAGATCTTCTAGCGCTCACTTTTTATGCTTTTTGATTTCTCAATCCGGATTTGATCAAACTAAGGCATGGACATCAGGTGAGTTGACAATGTCAATGGAATATCTGCAGGC